ACGATGCCTTTATCTCCATACTGTGCCAGGAAGCAAGGCACGTGACTCAAGATGTGTATTTTCTCTACATCCTAAAGACCCCTGGTCTGGTCTCGTGATTTCATGCACATTTTTGTGAAGGCACTGCCAGAACGGGTCCCAGCAGTTTGAACACACCATGCCAAGGCCTCATCAAGGCGGTAACACTGAAGCTTGGGCAGCGAAAAGACAACAGCAATTCTACATGTAGATTTCTAGGCATTAATTAAAGAATCAAATCAAATCTGCACTCCCTCCCTCCCCCATCTGATGCTTGTGAGGGACAACAAAGCATCGCAAATCTACCTCGGGATATTGGGAGAGAGGGGAGAAAAGAATCAGGTCAAAGCACACAATATATAAATCCTTGCGTTGCCTCAGGGCACAGAATGCAACGACCTCAGACGGTTCTGAAAATCGATTACAGAAGGCCTTCAGCTGCATGGAGTCAATGACCCTATCCATGCGTATCAAGGGGAAAACAGCTAAATCTTCTCTGAGCTAATACTCACAAGGGCTTCTGGCCCAAGATGTGCATGGTGGCTGGCAAAAGGGGAGCTACAGAAAGTCTCTCCCAGCTGATCTTCCTCAGCCCACGTGAGGAAATCACTGGCTTTCTGTTCACAGAGATCTGATTTCCATGAGATCAGAATAGATGATCCCTGGTCTTCCCTACAGAAACATCACCAGCTGCACCAGGGGTCACAATCCTACAGACAAAGAACGTGTGTAATTCAGGAGCTCTAACTGCCTCATGAAATATATGTCAAAAGAGACAGCTGGCCTCAAGGCTTGGGCTGCCCAGTGTCTTTGTCTTCAGGTTTTCTCTGGATGGAAGTGCAGGGGAATTAGGAGTGGTGGAAAAGGGGGAGCTTCATCTGGACCCGACGTTTCCTTTTCCACTCACAACCATCAGGATTTGTAAATGCTGCTCAATTAAAGCAGCTCTGCTTTGACATTAGAGACCACAACCAGAGCATGGAAATGAAGGGTTTTGTTCCCACTGAGCAGAGCATTCAAACACAGGGTAAAACCACTGATTGTGATTTGGATAGCAAATGAATGGCAGTATTAAGACTTATAATGCCCTCATAGACACAGCAAAGAGATTCTTGTGGTACTACTGGTGAGAGAGTGTTTCCAGCTGTTTCAGTTACCTTCAGCAGAGAAGAACTTCTGAATTTGTTGGTGCACAGACATGCGTTGAGTTTGCTGTCCCCAGCAGTGCTTTAAACACAAATATATTAACCATACACAAACATTTTAGAAGAGGTAAAGATGAAGGAATTGAGAATGAGGTTGGAGAACATTTTAAAAGCTTGTGAAGTCAGGGCACAGGGATTTTCCAAAGGAATAGATTCGTACAACATGGAGAACACAATACATCAGTATTGCTCACTAAGCATGTTCTAGGCAACACTGTGAAGACTTGAAGTCAAGCAATACTGAAGATTTAATAAAAAGACATTAAAAATAGAGTAAAACGTAGCTCCATTAATTTTCCTCTCTTTAGCAGACGTAGACAGCACAATTGTGTTTTTCTTTGTTTCTCTTTCATCTTTAAAAAAGCCATGGCAACGGTGGAGGAAATGAATTGCGGGTTCGGTGCCACAAACATCTGACTGTTTGCTTGCTTCTAAGCACGCGAGCATCTCGCCAGCTTCAGCCGGGACGGAATGTTCAGCAGATGCTGCAGGATGCAGTCAACACGGCCAGCTGCATGCAAAAGGACAAGGGTCCAGGCTTCAGGCCAAAAAGAGGTGGTCATGGAAGGTAAATCAGAGGGATGAGGTTGGTGTGTGTGAGAGGTGGCAGAAGGAATGCATTTTGCTGCACACAAAGCAAGAACCAACCACAGGACAAGACCCAAACAATTTGACTATGTAGGGGGTTTCAAAATTAGCCCACAGGTTACAGTCTACCTAGAAGCATGATGATGAATTGGGTGTCATCAAAGTCAGAGGATCTTAAAGGCTGGAAAAGACCACCAAAATCACCTGGTCCAAACAAACCCAGTTCAAATTCTAATATCAAAGCTTGTTATTAGCTATTGAACAAGAAAAGCTGGGCTGTGGCCTGGAGCAGCTTTCTTCCAGTTGAACTCATGCCCACATCACAGCTTTCAGATACAGGTAAAGCGAGATCTTCACCCTCATTATGACATCTGAAATTAGTGCTAGACTCAGCCCTAATTAGGCTGGCCTCCTATTAGTGTTTGCCAACAGGAATATATATTCTTATATTAATTCAATATATTCTTATATTGGAACTCCGTAAGCTTTAGATGCATAAAATCATTCCACTAATATACATCTGTACCTCAGTACTGACGTTATTTTGATTCATTCTGTATGTTTAATTACTAATATTTTCAGTTAAAGTCTTCTAAAATCAGCCTTCAGGTTTTTTTTGCTGAAACTGACTTCTGAAATCTGAGATGAAAATGAACTGATGGCCTCCAATTCATTACTGGGAATGGAAGGTGGCTGTAGACTGTAAAGTTGGAATAGGCAAGCAAGGTAACTGAAGGTGAGCATTAAAATGCCCCAAATAAACAAAATATTGCAATGACATAAAAAAAAATCTGAAGTGTAAGCTTCAGACTAATTACAACATGAAGTAAAACATATTAGGAGTAAGATTAAGCTGCGTTGCTTCGTATTCTTTAAGTAACAGACTCCCAGTGCATCCAATGGCAGCAGCAGGCGCTACAAAAGCAGTCCCTTACTCAACTGAAGGAGTACTGAGAGGCTTCTAAAGGCTTCTGGCCTTTAGAAAGTAGAAAATGCAGAAAAGCACAGCTACAAAAAACCTGGAAGTGAACCATGTCCAAATATCCTACTCCTCCTGTTTAGATCATAGCTTAGGGATACCACAGGTTATTTTAGAAACAGACCAAAAAAAAGATGTTGTTTCCTTACATGTAATTATTTTTTTTTGCACACTTGTGACATACTTGGAATGATTTTGTCAAAGCACACGATACAGAGCTGTTTCATCCTGTACCTTTTTATAGTTTATGGGACAGGACTCAAGTTTCAGAGGAAGGTGACTGTTCCCACCAAGTCGTACTTGGTATGCATGAACCAGCAGCAAACTGTGCCATACTGGTTCAGAGGAAAGGAGAAGAGCCACGATGCAGGTCAGCAAGATGATACTTCCTAAAGAGGAGCAGCAGAATGCCAGGTAGCATCACAGACACTTCTACTGTTAAAGGAATCACATAGAGCAACTTCGGTTGAATTCATATCTGCTCTACCCTGCAAACAAGCTCACTGGTTAAATGTGTGTTCAGCAAAGTTTTAATTCAGGTCAGGCCTAACATAACATATGTGTTATGTGATGGCAAGGTCTGCAGTCCTGTCTAACGGGATGAGAAACCCAGCCAGCAAACCTCATAAAGCAGGGGCCAAACACCAGAAAGTTGCTGATGGTGAGAAGAACTTTTTGTCACAAGAAATATGGCTTGTAAGCAGGATCTCTGGAAGGATGAGGCTAATTTTAAGTTGTCTTAAGTTTTTACTTTTAGTAAAAATGATGCAAATTTTCCAATAAAATGGAAGAGTCCATAGTCCGACATACAAATTCCATTCATGCTCATGAACTTCAAGTCCTGCAAGCTCACAGATACGAGCCGTGCACCCAGCTCACTCAACCCACACTCTCCAGTGTATGCATATTTGCAGGGGTAATTATTTCATTAATTTGGTGAATCAATAATTCACCATTATTTCAAAGAACTCTAAACGATTTGATTTGCCCCTCCTTACCAAACTCACCTTCCTTCCTTAAGAACTTCATTGCATTAGAATGGACTCTTGTACTCTCCAAGCCCCAAAAGGCAAAGTTAAATGATTTATCTGCACTTCACTGTTCTACCTTTATAAAATCAGCCCATGTAAATGCTGTCTGATTAAACTCAACCACAACACACAACCAAGTCAGATGAATATGTCTCTCTCGGGACATTCAAAATTATGATTGCATGACAAGCACTAAAAAAGCATTTACATGAACCAACAATGTTAGTCAGAGGTGTATTATTCCTTTCATTTAAGGAAAAATTAAACTGAAACTCCCAATTCAATGGGATGAAGCATTCTTTCCATAAGCTTTCAACTAGAAAACAAAGGGACATACTTTGTCTCCCATGCTTGCTCGATTTGTGTAAACCAAAGCTAATACTCAGTTGTAACAGCAATTTCAGTTATTTAATACACAGAAAACATCCCCTAATTTTGCTAGAAAAGTAGCAAAACCAGTAGTTTTGATTTTTAATCCTTAAAGGAATGGAGCTGAACCTTGAGGAAAGGCAACCTCGCTCCAGTTCAGGGACAGCACAACGCCCACCTGCCCCTTCCTGCTGCGACTCTCAGAACCCTACCAGCTCTCTGCTTGGAGAAAAGACTTTCAAGGAGACAACGTATAATGCCATTCTCTCTTCAAATCATGCAGGCTAAAAACAGTGAATTTATCTTTTCACAGAATGGTCGGGGTTGAAAATGACCACAATGATCACCTAATTTCAATGCCCCTGCTATGTGCAGGGTTGCCAACCACCAGACCAGGCAGCCCAGAGCCACATTCAAACTTTTCCTGCAGCATCCTTACATTCTGCAAATTATCACAGTCTGCTCTGTATTTTATGGTACTGACTTAGAACAAAAGATTCAAATATATCTTGCTCCACTGTGAGTCGGTCTTCCAGAATTTGGGCATCCTGATCATCCCCAGCTCTGAAAACCCCAGACAAGGTAACAACTTAGGAACACCGGTGCTGGAGCTGCACACTGCTTGGTCTTGGAATTTTAACATGGGGATTAACAGGGGGATTTTTACGTCTGTAATTAACTAATGATGAGAATAAGCACTTCAAATTCTATTTGAAAAAGAAAACAGAAGGAGGCCTGATAGCCAGTTTGTAATTTAGTGACAATAAAGCAGATGTGAACATGGTTTAGAGCATACCAAATACACACACACAATGTCATTGCCTGTTTTATTTAGTGGAATCACTTTTGTAGATTAGAAATATTTCCAACTCCCATTTACTCCAAAGCAAGCCTCCACCGTCAACAGGCGTAATGCAGTTTGTTCAACTGATTCCAAACAAACAAAAAAAAAAAGGTACAATCTCAAAAGTTAAGTTAGAAACTAAGTTCACACATTTTCTTTGGGACCAGGAATCTGTACATAGTACAAAATATACATTTATTGAACTTTCTGTAAACACACAGTTTGAATTGTGTAAAACTGTAAATATCGGTGAACTATGTGGAGAATAATTTATTATATATTGTTATACATTCTACTTAAGGAAAATAGTTATGCTCTGGTATATTACTCTGTTAAATTTATAAATTCCATAACGAAGCTGTGTATTCTGCAAACATGCTTTTCAAGCTTAAATCTCTCCATTTGTAACACACATTTATACAAGTCATCAATGAAAAAGTTACACTTTCCACAAAATAGATATAAAGAGGTCATGAATTTTCTAAAAAGACAGGCACAGCATGTCACTACAAACGAGACTTTCATGGTACGAGGAGGAGTTAACGCTGTGAGGAGACAGGTGAGAACTCTCTAATTCAGCATGTCTGTACATAGTCCTGGTAACAAGACAGATGCTACAAACCAAAATCTTTGCTTTGAAACGTTAATGAAGCAGCCGGTTCTGGAAATGCTATTGACTCACACTTCTCAATTATCCATATTTCCTGGCCAGCAGAACCTAGGCTTGTGCCTCCTGTTAACCCCTTGTCAGCAGTGGTTCAGTTATCTGAGCACTGAACTGCCTGGCACGATTAGCTACCAACACTTGCAAAACTCAGCACTCCCTCTACCAACTAGATTCCTGGCACCAAAAAGTTAGATTTGGTTAATAAATACAACTTACAGACAGTAGGAAATCCCAATTTCCAGCATCAAGCTGTTCCTATGGCAGCAAGCAACAGAAGGCATGGGAACGGCTCCTCCAGCACCCTGCAGACTGGGGACCATCGCATAACGCCCAGCTGCCCATTTACATGGCTGAAAGCTTCACACGCAGCAGACTTGAGAGTCCAGCATCAAACACTCAGCAAGAACAAAAGCTCCCTAAAATGCCAGCACCGATGTTTTCAGTAGTTCCACTAACAGACATGGAAAAGATGCTCTGCATATTCAGCACATTTATTCCTAGGGATTTCGGGCCTCTTTTCATTCCCATCCCAGGTAATTCATTTTGGGTTCCATCCTTTTATCCTTAAAGCCAAAAGCAGTACATGAAAGACCGGAACCTCTTCAATTTTGTCCTTCTGATGTTTTAAAAGAAAAAAACTGCTGACTCGCATACTCAAAGAATTAGGACATGATTAATTATAATTAATCCACCGCTTTGCTTTAGGTCTGTCACCTTCTTCCCCTTCGGCTTTGAAATCTTTTTCAAAACCAACTCCAACAAAAGTGGGACAGTTAAGGCTGCAACAATACTTGTGCAAGCTCTATGTACTGGGATTGACTCTCCACCAACATCAGCAGGCTGCTGTTAAGAACGCACTTCTATTTTCCTAAGATCACTTAAGTTCAATTTTCCCTTGTGGTGTGAACTAAAATATTGTGCTGCAGCCTGAAAACCCAGCAGTGAAAACGAAATTGGCAACTGCTATTTCCATTGCTCAAACTGAGCTGAATTCAGCGATACCAATGGAATTAAACTCTGAAGACCTCAGTCTACAGGTATCAAGAGAAGTAAAAGTACGTAACGCTTTCTGACCCGCAAGCCTGTTTTCTCATTTTAATTCACAAAGATACTTCTCAAGAAAAATCACAATGGCATCTCCTGTGTGTTGGGGAGGGTTGCATTGCGTTGACAATATATGTCAAGAGCCCTGCCTACTTCAGCCATCAAGAACACGTGGTTCCAGCAGCTCTTCAGAGCCACACAGTCAATGGAAGCACACATGAATTTCAGTTTTGGCTCGGTGCTATTGAGTGAGCTGAGAAGTGCGCACACAGTGCTCTCAGAGCAAAACACTGCTGTCTGACACAGCACTCATCTTTGCAAACAAATTACTGCTTATGCAGTAGTAAGGAGCTTTCTCCTCTTACTAAGTTTTCTCCCTCTCTTTTTTTTTGTTTTTTATTTCAACATAAAAGATACTTTAAAAAGTATTCAGACAGGAATCGATACGAGTTAAATATAAAAATTTGGTTAGGCATAAAAACATACATAATCCTGAAGCCTGACCTATCATCCCAGCTCACTGAAGTTTTGAAATCTTCAGAATGGAGCAATGTCATTAATCCTACAGAAGGCATTAAGTTAAACCCACTTTTCCAAATTCTGTGGTCACAAAGACTGAGATTTTGGTTGTAAGTGATGCACACCTCCTCAGAAGCCCTTTTCTTAAGACACCACAACCACTCCTGGACTCCCAGCTGGCAACTAAAAATTTCTACTGTAACAAGTGCCTAAAGGACAAGAAAAAAACTGTTTTACTGCTACCTGAAAGGAAAATGAGATAAAGATATGGCTCACTGTAAGTCAGCAACTACAACATAATCAGATTAAAGTGCCTGACTTTATCATGTACTAAACAAATTCTGGAAGATTCTCCCGGAAATTCATTTTCAGCAGGAGATGATGTAAACTTAATTTTCAGCATGCTGTATGTTCTTTTTGTGCTTGGAAGCATTTAGCTGTCTATGACTGTAAGCAAAAGCTTGAAGTCCTCCTGCAGCCTCTTCTGCAACCAAATGCCACGGCCCAGGTACCTGCTTCCTCATTCACAAAGCAATACCAGTATGAAGCAAATAAGGGTACAGAAGCTTCCAGAGGCAATGTCTGAGCTGCAGACTCTGCAAGTGCTCCAGAGCAACTCAGGAAGAGCTCATCAGAAGGTTGCATCCTCCCATCAACACTGCTCTATCCAAAATACTTAGCCCAGATTGCTACCTGCAGATTTCACTGTTTTATCTATTTTAACGACTCACTCTAGGAATTGCATTCATTTTATGCGCTACAACATCCTAGAAATTCACACGTGGAGCCCCTTCTTACCACTCAAAGAGTTAAAAATCTATCCAGTCAAGTAGAGACTTTGCACCTTGTAATGTCATATGAAGGCTTAGGTCGTGATCATCTGAAATGGACACAGCTGCAGGAACAAGGAGGGATACCAGTTATCCTGCAGACATTTTTCACCTCCAGAAGCTTGGCACGGAGTAACAATTCCAATTCCTAAGGAAACACAGCTGTAAAGTACAGTTCCCCTGCTCTATCCAGATCTGCTGTTTCTTAATCTAAGCCAGGTACATCAGGTTTCTATTAAAATCTTGTATTTGCCCAATGATGAAGAAAAAGGGTTATGTTTGACTAAATGTTCACCAGTTGCTGAAATGGCCAAGTTAAATAATCAAGAAATTTAAACGTATCAAGTCATTTGGCTATACAGCAGTTCAAGAATGCACGTGTAGAAATTCAAGTGAACATCTTAACATGACGAAATCCTGCTGTACGCTGAAATAAGGTAAACTCTAAGAGCCTTTTCATTAACCTAATTATGACAGCCATGCTACCTCTCTCTCGGGACAGAGCTGCATACAAATACAGATAGTTAACAAAAAGTCCATCTGTCACCATGGAGCTCCCATACAAGACATTAAACTCAAAGTTCCGTGACTCCAGTTTCAAGAAAAAGAATGCTGACCAAGGTAAAATATTTGTCTTAAGCATAGTGTGGAGAAAGATCTGTAAAGGCTTTGATATTTCCTATGTAGGTCCATCATTTATCTGCACTGAGGCTCTGATTTCCCCAGCTATGACAAAAGGAATGCTGATCCATTCCTCTGCTCACAGCCCTGCCTTCCTGGTGCTAGCACCAGGTACTTGCAGTATCCATTTATCCAAGCTGAAGAGCACAGGTTTTCTCTCCCTCTCATAACTGCACAGCCACAGAAGCACTACTGCTGACACAGAGTTGACCATGAAACCATATCCTTAGTTTATAAATTATTAAAAAACCAAAATGCAATAGGAATCCTGCATTATCCCAGTGTAACAAGTCAAAATAAGATTCTTATCAGAGTATCAACTGCAGTGCAAACTGCTCCCCAGTTTTACTAAATCACCCTGAAGTTTCCAATTCTTGAACTAAGGAAAATGGCTCAGATTTTAACCCATACAGTTGAGACGGTATCAGTTTCCTAGTAAACAATCTCATTGTCATTCAAGTCAGTGTCCCATGCATGTGTTAAGATGAACAACTTTGGCACCTGCATGAGCCACCAAGGTCAGTGCTGCAATTCCTCATCTGCTGTTTAATATTCTGTGGGCATCTTGCTAGCATGAAACAACCTAGAATTACCACAATTCAGCATAGGTTAATAACAAGGAGGTGAAATTTTGATCTCCAATTCTGACTTCTGCTGGAAATTACACTGAGTGATGGGCACACACCAGGGGCTCTGCAGAGCTTACGGACTACATAAGTGCAGGCCAGCTGAAAGGCTACTGCTTGCTCAGGACCTGCTGATCTGTGCCCACTGTGGGTACCAGGATGTAACTGACAACAGATTTACAAAGCCTTGCAAGTCTGGGGCCCTGCTTAATGTAATCACACTGAGTTTATACAACACTGGTTTTAAAACACATTTTAGAAGCAGCTTCTGTCTTGAACATATTTCAATGCTGAATTAGTGAGAATTATTTGAAACAGCTGTCAGTAAAGCAGTACAGGTATTTTCCCAGAACGACCAGTGAAACATTTAATCTGACTGTAACAAAACTCACAGAAAACTGAAGCCAGTCAAGCTGTTAAATGTAGAAGGAAAACAAAGTTGCATGGCATATGAAGAGAAGAAGCTTTACAAATATCATTTCCTTTTTTTAAAAAAAAAAAAAAAAAAAAAACAAGCAAATTGGGACCACCCTATTTGAACATGTATTTAAAAATACATCTTTTAACATCACACAATTTTCATTTTTGTCACACAGGAAACTTTTTCCATGAGGGAAATAAATAGCACACAATACTTCAAGAAAAATTGCTGCCTTACCCCTGAGGTGCTAATGTTTTTAGCATTAAAGAAAAGTTTCTGGTGCAAGAAGGAAGTGCACAAACGTGCAAAAGTGCCTTTTTCTTTTCAGAGCAGTGAAAAGTGCAGCTTGCCTCTTTTCTAGGATGCTTTACGTAAGTAGTGTATCTTGTAATCAAAACCTGTATCTAAATCGGCAGTGTTTATGCACACATAACAGATTCAGTGCTCTGACCTCATCAAAAAGAACGCAGCTGGGAGGGAGAAAGGCCTGAAAGAGGCTTTCTGCCACTGCCCTCAAAGCCAGTGACAGCTCCTGTCACAACAGCAGAGGTCCTTCCTAACCTTCAGGAGGCCTCATAGGAAGAGGCTTCAACGACACAGATCTGTCACTGGGACAGTTTAAGCGATGATGAAGTATGGCTTTACGCACCACAGTTTTGCTTCCGATTTCTAGACGTTTGAAACTGAAAAGGTTTCCACAGTCCAGTTCAAGGTTTTTCCAAAACTAAACTTCAGTCTACATGAAAAAGGACAGAACCTTATCTGCCTAGTCCTAAATTGCATTCAGCTTCTCGCACTAACACGCCACGTGTTATTAAATACGCCTGTTCATTAGGTGCCTGCGAAGCTCTGACTTAACGTTATTACAGTTTTGCACTCTACAACAAAATCAGACATTTTAAGCATTTATTCATAGGTAGGTAAGGAACTGGTTCTTTAAGCAAAAATTGCTAGAAATTTATAAATACAAATAGTGCTTATTTTTTTCTTCATTCATGCTCCAACAGATTACAAACTGAATACAATGAAGTTACGTTTTAAGCACCCCACACAGACAAGAGGGATAAAAAGAAAAGTTTGCTGGTATATACTATACTTAGTTCCAAGACACTATAAGTTACTTTTTCACTGTTCAGTGTTCCCTAACTCTGCATTAGTTTTAAGGCTATATATACAAATATGTATATTTCAAAGTTAGGGAAAGACACATAGCAAAATGCATGGTACTACGTTTTCCTATCAAAATAATTATACACCAAGTTTTGATTCTGTTTATCCGTAGCAAATGTTACAATCTACTTGTTTTACTGATTTTCCTTTTGGGGAATCTGCCTACTAAATGAGTAAACTACATATTAAATACAATATTCTCAAACAAAAAGACAATACAAGGTGCACAAAACAGCAGTTTTGCAAACACGACTGACTTTAAAACTTAATTTTGCATGTTCAGTGGGAGAAAGCTAACCTTAAATCAACTCAGTTTATTCTCTTATAAAATTTAAATTAGAATTTTAAACAACAAACAGTTAGATATTATCAACATGCTACATCTCTAATCACAAGTACTGTTTAACCACTAGTCTCTCGTTGTAAGTGGGTCAATTAAAAACACACACCATAAAATGTAAAAGATTGTCAGGCTCTGACAAATGTATTTTTATCAAACAGTAGGCAAATTCAAACCAATGCACATCTTCAGTGGGGACAACAGAAGCAGCCTGAAACAAATCCATACTCGTAAAAAACAGGGTCACAGATTTATCCCACTTCGTCCTCTAGCATATGGCTATGTCTCGGGCAATAATCAAAACTCTTCCCATTTTAAAAATGGGCTACCAATTAATAAAAATATTCTTCCACGTGTAAAAGATCATTTACAATGGCACTGACATTTTAAAAGGCAGGAAAAAAGGAATTACACATCTATGGATAAATTTCTTGTTTGTTAAACCAAGCTTTATTGATAAAATGGAATTCAAAGTATTTCACTTGGAACAGCAGCAGATCCAGCCAATTAAGATTGTAAAAATGCTGCAGACTCCTACGGTATGTAGAAAGCTGCCTGTTTGTGCTCAGTGATTAGTAACTTTCAGGTAAGGGTTAATGAAAAGAGGTGCAGAGAATCGAGGCATTCTAATCTCGAGGTTCATATGCTTATGAACACATGATGCTATTAATAGGGCATGATTTAACTCCCACCAAAGTCGAAATGAGAACTCCCTTCAACTCAGTGTGAGAGCAGGAGTACCTCTGAGAAAACAAGATCCGCCTGTTGAAGAATGTGCACTACTCTCATTGTTTTTCCACTGCCAAGCAAATTCGTTACTGTGATTTTGGGGAAGTCACCCTCAAGATCAGCTTTCATAGAAGACAAAAATGTTACCTTTACAGTTTTGTGCACCTCTCGAGCACCTAGCTGGCTAGGCTGCTGCTCCTCGCAATCCAAAACCACAACATGAATGTAAAGGGATATATATTGTTGCATCACACAAGTCAAACATTTCTTCTAACCTTTGTAGTGATTTAAAGCAGTTCATAATTAAATATGAGCATTTTGTACAAAGACAATTGCACTTTACAAAAAAAAAAACAAACAAAATCATACAACATAAATTGATGGAGTCTGATTTACAACATGGATTATGGTTTGAAATCACGTTTACAGAAGTCTGTTTTACAAAAAAAGATCAGTTCCTGGGCTAGATGTCGTACTGCTGTAGTTTTCTGCTGCAGTCACTCTCACCAACACATCGTACTCCCTTCTTTAATTAATATTGAGGGTGGATGTTAAGAAGGGTCACTGAGGTTGGGCTGCACTTTCATTTGAAGAATGAAACGTGAACTCCACAGCTAGATGAGCAGTTTTACCACATATCATCAGTTGAGGCAGAATCCTTAAAGAAAAAAGAAGGAGCCCTTTAAAGTCTGGAGTGCCCATAGTTACAGCAGTTTCTGGATAATCCAGACTGAAAAGGGAAAAAGCTTGAATCATTTTAGGAGCCTGTTTTCACTCTCCTTTCAGAAATAGCAGAAACAACATTTAAGAGGCATCTAGAAAACATGCATGCTTAATTAATGAAACACTAAGTAGCAAACATTCGAGAATCAGATCAAGTTTTGTCTCAAATGCTTACTGATCCTGACAATAATATCCCAGGAATAATACTCACAAAACATTTCCAGAATAGTTAAAAGTCATGCAAATGCATGTATTTTCTACAGTGGTACACTAAGAGCAGGATGAGCCTTGTGCTTTTTGCTATCATTACCAGCACCTTTTGGTATTTCAGTCCTTTCTCACGGCACAGGAAGACAGTCATTAACCAATATCTAACTGCAATTCAGATCAATTTTACCTCTAATAATTTAAGGTTAAACAGAGAAGTGTAGTTTCAGTAACTGCTAGAAATCTTAATTTTGAATTGGAATAAATCTGCAAGGAGAAAAAGAATTCCATAATATAGAATTGGAATCAGAGACACAGTAGGCTCTAAATCATAACTACAAGGCCACACTGCACGCCATTACATCCATGCATCCAGTATCTGAGTAACCCTTAAATTAGGTCCATTTAGGCCCACAGACAACAGAGAGTTTTGTATAGCTGATAAATGGAACCACTCTGAAAAAAATGTTTAATTCCTGCTACCAGTTAAAAGAAAACACATCTTAACACACACCAAATGGTAAACTTCTAGTGGTGTTTAATCGTTTTACGTTGTATCTATTTCCTTTCCCCTCACTGAGATTGTTCTACACTTGGTTTAAGCTAACTGACTTCTCTGTTCCACAAAGTTGGGTATATATGTTAACTAAGCATGGCCACAGCTTGCTAGCTGAACCAACAGTTAAATCAGCAGCACAGCCAGCAGAGCAAACTGCTTATGTACAGCAGCAATTTGGGGTTGTTTCAGCATTAAGTACTATCTTCCCCTAAATAGCAGAGACATGATGGGCTTTAACAATGCTCTCAGCTGGTACTTCTACAGCTGCACACCCCTATTGTTACTGAGACTGCAGGAGATACAAGTATTACTCTTCTTTGAAAGTACTGTCTTACAGATTCCTTTGAAAGGGAAGAGGCTAATTAAGTCTTTAGCAACGCCACATATGACAACTTCTTAGCATTAAATTTCTGCACCCTCCATTCAAAACCTGCACACAGAATTCATTACAAACCAAAAAGAAGAACAGTTGGCACGGAGGTGTAGCACAAAAGCCAAGATCACTAGAATTACTCTTTGTGAGAGTACCACCCCCAGATTTTTCTTCAAAACCAGAAGGAGCAAAGGAGCACCATTATATGAGAGACTAAAATGGTTATGTTTTTCCAAGTGTACGGCTGCAGAATAAAAGCAGTAGTGAGTAAAAATGCAGGAGCTGCATGCCAACTATTCAGTATGCAAATTCCTGTATCCTAGTTGCCAACAACATCATAAAATGAAGACGTTTAACGTTCATTTGTGGAACAGCAACTTAAACAGAATGCTTTACATTCAAATTGCATCCTTTTTCAGATAGCATTAAGGCATTGTTAGGCTAAGGGTATTGAGAGAACTGCCAAACAGTAGCACTCAGTTTCAAAGCCGATGCACAGCTTTATGTTTGAAGGCATTTCACTTCTATGCTACATTTGCAAGATACAAATCAGGGAATTCCAACACCAACAAGTAAACAGTGCTGAAATCCTATGATCAGCAGAAGGCATCCAAAAACAGTCCCAAAAGCACAAAAAGGTTCTTTCTTTTTTTTTGGGAAAGAAGAACTGGAAATATGTTGCTTTACAAAACAAATGCAATTGCTGGGGTGGGAGGAAAGAATGCCATAGAAGAGATACTTACAGTGTCATCGTTCCTGTAGGGGTTCAGTCTGTTATAAACAGCTTCTATTACACTCCGTCTAGATCAAAAATAAATAAAAAAAATACAATATTTTAAAGTCAAACTCCTTAGGTAAAATTGTAATTTAAAAAGCAAACTTTTAAAGATCTTACATTTGCAGAACCAAGTTTACTGCAAGTTAGTCTTAAGTGCCATTACACACCAACCATAGTTATCCCAATCCTTTAAAACCCTCAAGTTCAAGAAAAAGAAAGCCGAATAAGCACTTTGCATTCAACAGAAGAGAAGCACAACCAAACAGTCTGCAGTGCTGTTTTGTTTGGAGGTATGTCTCTCATACTTAAAGAAGAAAAAAAAGAGGATCAGAGAACCTGATACAGGTTGAATGCCATGGCCATTTGTGTGCCCAATGAACACTGCAGTAGAACCTTCATACATTAGGACACTTCCAGAGGGCTTAAAGAAGAGGTTTTTCCAAGAAAAATGATACACACGAAAAATAAGGGAGGGTGAAGGATAAGGAAGCCTCTACCTTACCCAGCACATAAGAATTTTGGAAGGGGAGCAGGAAGGAAAGAGAGGAATAAAGGAAAGGAAAAACAGACTGGACATCAAAAGCAATTTTCCTCCAGATACCCTAATGTGCAGAACCAAGTATGACAAAATAGCACACTACAGCTTGGATACAACCTCAAAGCCACCTTTTAACTGCTCATGAATACATGCAGGGAAAAAACGAGAGTGCTTTCGAAGCAGGAAAAAAAAAAAAGCAGATGGCAGTCTTTATAATCTTCCTGTAACATCAAAATTTGGGTACTATCATACAGCAGCATAAACACCACAGCAAATCTGGTGAATGATCATACAGCATGGAAGAAGAGGATGAATTTAAAGAAATAAAAATAAGCAATTATTCCCAAAGTACAATGCACAAAGTTGTTCTCATCTTTCAGAGACAGCCATCGCTGATTCTAAATAAAGCCAAGTTACTTGACAAGCATTGTTTGCTTTCCAAATGGTCACTATTGCTTCAAGTTACAATATAATACAATTAAATCCATATTTCTGTCAATCACTATTCAAGATAACATCACTAAAGCACATAATCCCACCAAAGTCACTCATTTCAGTGACTTCAGCACTGCCTCACAACCACAAAGCTACTGCCAGCCAAAGAAGCTTGATAAACAACTTGTATGCCATCTTTTATGAGTAACTGACTCATCAGTGCTTCAAGATGACTGTAACACATCCTAAATAGACACTACTATTTATATATAATAGCCATCTCTTCTTTTCCTACATCATAAAGGAAGAATTATGTTATGTAGAAGTCATCCTTACAGCCCACTTATCATTTATTCCTCTACGTGCCTACAGACTTCAAGTTCCTATGTAACAAGACAAAAATTACACACTGAAGTATTAAAAATAAACTGTCCACATCACATGTGCTCAATATACACAGTACAAGTTCATGAATGACCTTCTGAACCAAAAAACACTTGCTGCGGAAAAAAAGCCAAGTGCATTTCTTTCTTAACTGTTAAACATCAATTTGAGACCCTGTAGCACAGCGCTGAACTCTTCAAGGACAAAAACCAGCCTATTTAAAGTTCTACTTAACTTTTTTGATAGACTTCTATCCTGGTTTTGTGTTCGACACAAGCAGAGAGGTGCATAAGCAAAATTTTAAGCCATTACCACATTGCCTTAGCTACAGACAAGAAAAGAAAGCTGCCAAGCAAAACATGATATGCACAAAACTTTTTGAAGAGCAGAACCATATGTCCAAGTAGCTACTAAAGGCAGTCAGTATGTTATTTTTGTACCTTCAAACCATGTCCCACCCAATGAAACCCAATTAATTACAAAAACAGAGACACTCAGGCCACCCTTAAAAAAAAAAAACACCCTTGATCCTTCTCAAAACTACATTTTGACATGTAATTTTTAACAGTGATTCATAGTTAACTCTGTTCTTGTGCTTTCCTTTTCATTCAGAACAGTTCAGTAATAACAACTGAAGAACAGATCACATTCGTCCTGCACCCTTCCTCCCTCCCCGTACTTTTAAGAGTGGCCTTACAGTTAAGTTTGATTTAAATAATAATAATAAAAACACATTTACACTGATGTGAACTCACTTGCTTGCCAATTCACCCCCTGGCGGGAGGTTTGGGATGCTCTCAGTTGCTAACGTACGCATCACGTGGACTAAGTCTGGCACTCCTTCACCCTGCTTCTTTATGATCTCTGGGAATCAGAAGTACTTTTTTTGTAAGTGCAGTCCAAATTTAACTTTAAAAGATTGAAATACTCAGTTTTATAAAAAGGCAGCTTAATTTCTGTTAATATAAGAAATAAATGACAGACCATACTCAACATGGTGTTAACTTGATTCCATAACAAAAAAGACCCGTGATGGATCTGACACAAGATGCCCTGCTAGCTGTTAACATGCACACAGGTTTCAGAAATACACAGCTAACGATTCCAAGTCTAATGGCTTTCCTGCTATAGCATTATTTTATTTTCCTAACAAAATGCATTGGGCATGAAGCAAAGATTAACATCAGCTTTATCACTGCAACAGAAGGTTAAAGATTATCACCATCCTAGAAAGCAATGGTATTTTCACCGAACAGAGTTCATCATCAGACACAAATGACCCCCAGCAGAAGTATACATGGCTGCAAGCCTATAAGGCAATACCTGTATCTTACCACATCACTGCAACATGCAAATGTTAGGAGCTATCATGTACAAGTTAAAAGCCAGGGACATTGGAGTGAGGGGCAGCTCCACCCTTCCCTCAACTCGCAGTACGTGACTATTAGGCAGTTACTTAAAGCTGAGCTCCTCCAAAGTCTGGGGAGAGAGGCCTTGCACTGTAGTTCTCTAATTTTATTCTTAGGCCTATTTTCCTTTTTAAAGCAGTAAGCACAATGGAAATCACAAGAGATTTTGCTGTAACACCTCTGAAAGTATTCTCTTTTTATAGGAATTTTAATAAATTCAAAAACAATCTATTTCTTCAAAATGCATTTCTGCAGATTGTCTGTAAATACAAGCTTAGAAAATAAAGAGATGAATTATTAAGACTCAGCATTATTGATCTTCAAGTGAATACTGCAGCCCATATACAATAGGTATGTCTATACACACACATTATTCCTTATGTATTGATACAACTTGAAGAGAGTTGGAATTCATCAGTACCATTTCTGAAATGAATACTTGAGCATTTAGTTTTTACTCTAACAGATAATTGCAGATAACATACCAAGTTTCCACTCTGTAATTTAATCAGTGAGATATGGCACATGAAGCTTAAAACCAGCAGGTCCCCAGTCCTTTTTTGTATAAAATAGGTCAGATAAATAAATAGCAAATTATTTTTGTGCATGCAGTAGTTTTTCAGGGCTGTATGTGTTTACAGGAAGAATCAGCTTTATTTTGCCAGCAGATTGTGCAAATTATTTGCAAGGTACAATGAAAGCACTGTCTAGTCCTCAGCAGTGTCAGACTGTAACACAAAGCTTTAACCTGCTCAAATAAGAACCTAAGTTTTAGATGTATGACACCACACACACCAGATACTTCAGAAACTTGCAGTTTCCTCAAGAAATTCTATGGCTAAAATTCATTTTACCATCTAATATTGAGGAAATAATCTAACACTCATAAATCTGAATAAGAAGCAAGATCTCAGTTTTGGTTTGCCAAGTTCCTTTATTGTGCAATTTTGAACATCTAGTATATTCTACATTGTGCTAGAGCTAGAGTTCTGCTGTACAAAAATAAGGACTTTGTGTTTTACCTATACTACACAGTATCACAACCTGTAACTGCAGTACATGTAACATACAGTCTCCACTAAATGAATACATTTATATTTTGATATAACTAAAATACAGACTGAATGAACACTGATGACAGAACAAATGGAGTCGGTCTGCTAGCTGCATTAATTTATTGGAATTACTTTCTTGCAATACATCTTATGAGCCCCACACCTATTCAGTTTACTTTAAAACCTTCTAAACATTTTCATGGCATCAAGCATGGGAAGATCGTACTTATATAACCCTACAAATAAAGGATTAAAACAGAACTGCTTATTTCATTCTCTGAATGGGAATTCCACACAGATATTAAGAAAATTCAAATTTGCAACCTTGTGAAAATAAGGGAGGGAACATGTAGCAGCTAACTGAAAATGATTTACCTCTGTGTAGATAAAAATATTGCTACATTATCTATTACTGAACGTTTATATGTAAGAAACTGAGAACAGAAGAAGCAGCCTAGACAAGTGTCATTTTAAACACATCAATAACTCACATGTTAGTGCAAATAACAGCAATGCATTTGGGAGTGACTGATTACTCCTACAAGGAAGATCACATAACATTTTATGAGCAACACTTATTTACTGCAAGTAATGGCAAAAAAAAAGACGCTTCTCCACACTTGCTTTCTCTTCTGTTGCTATCACAGCTGTGAATCTGGACCACAAACACATCGAGATTGATGGTGGCATAGTCAGTAGAAAGCTTCTTTTCTTTAAATCTGAATAATATCTGCTTGTTCACAGAATCATTTGGAAGATACCTTAAAGATCCACTAATTCTAAGTCCCCTCTTGTTCCAGAGGACCATCAGTAGAAAGCATCATTCAGTCTTAAAACTTGTACTACTCTGTCAGTGTAAAAACAGGTTCTAGGATAAAACATGACTAGGAATAATGCACATTATTAGCAAGCATCAAATCTCATTACCTGTTGAGACTACATTGAGTACTGGAGTGCATAAAAGTCTATTTTATGCATTTTCACCAGGTTTCCATTTTACTGAATTTTAATTTTAAACTGGTATTACAAATTAGCAAGAGAATTCTAGAAGGCTCGAAGTAGTCCTTGCATTTTCTACTTCCTTCAGCTACATATTAGGCTTTTAAAGTCAAACATGATTATTCCTAAAGCATCTTAATGAAAAATCGTTACTGTAGTGTTGAACATTTCAGATAGCATAGCAGTTCTACTTTGCTAGCCAACTCCGCATGATCCATTTCCAGCAAGAAACAACGTAATTGCATAAAAATTATCTAGTTAAATGTAACAACTGTCACCTGCTCTTGAAGTTTTGTTTTAGTTCAGCTTTTCAACTTCCCTCTTCAGTCAGAGCTAAAAGGGGAAGTTCTGTCTACAGCTGATATAAACCAGTGTAGGTTTTAATAGTGTTTACTACATAGTCGTAAGTTTAAATAATACTTTTGTACAACAAGAGACAAAAGTTTGAGAACAACACTAAAAAGAAGCAAAGACCCTTGAGGGGAAGTACAAATCATTTCCTCAAGTAGCTCAGACAACTTGTCATTAAATTAGTATTAAAGTGCTTTGCAACTACATACAGAATCTGTTAGCTTCCATTCAAGTATGACACTTCACTCATTACTGAAATCTTCTATTTGTATAAATGGAAAGAATTGGCAGCCAAATTCACTGTATGAACCATAACCACATGCAGATGCAGTGACAGGTTTTTCATTTACTGAGGTGTCTGTACAAAATGTTAGCTTTCCCCACTGTTAATGTTCTAGGGGGTACAGTGGTGCTAGCTGAAGATGCAGCCATAACTTGAAGATACCTTCATATTGCAGGTAACGGGTTGGCATGAAGTAAGGCAAAATAGGTAAGGTATGAAGGCAGTACTCGTCCAGATTAGAAAGAGTTAGAATGCTATAAATTAATGTGTGACTTCACAGCATACTTGCTCTTCAGCAGTTTTGTGAGTGGGCCTACATAATGAGCTCTTTGAATGCCTGAAATGGAGAAAGCTATGTGACACTTAACTCATGCAGTTCTACCATAGACACAGGTACTCCTGCTACATGGTCAAATAAATCCACACCATAGCTTGGTGTGCATCAACCCTTCCTATTAGGAAAGTTGGATCAAACCAGAAAACATGTTCTATCTGGTCATTAGTTCAGAGGCAGAACAGCTGTACTTTGCCACGACCTTGGGGACAAGGTCTTTGAAATAGGCAACTCCTTCCTTAAGGAGCACTTAGACCAGAAGTAAGTGCTTTGAACTTCACGTTAATTTATCTGAACCCAGAATTCCCACGTAGACAAGACCTTGGTGAAGCTTACAAAGCTGCACTTTGTATTACCTTTGTGCAAGTTAAGGAGGAAAAAAGTGCACAATATATTCCTGTAACATATTAATCACTGATACCATCGTTGCTAAGTACTCTGTGTACTGTGCTGTGTGTGTGTTAGGGATTCTTGCAGTATATACACATAACTAGACTGGTAACACACAGACCCAAAGAGTCCACTTCAAAAATAGACTTAGCCTATGCAAACAATGCATACAGCAAGTCTTACGTTTCAGAAACAAAACCCAAGCTGTGCTCATCTTTAAATATCAAAAGGCACGATAAAATCCAGTTTTAATGAGAAATCTCTGAAATTAAATTGACTTCAAATATCATGATCCAAATTGATCATGATGATCCAGAGCACCCATGACTTGCAGTTTGAGCTCAAAGTTTAAATCATCCAGAAATACAAATTTAAACAAAATTCTGAAGTTATTATCAAGGATGTGCTCCCAGATTTTGCTCATCAGGAGCGCTTAAAGATTAGCTCTAGCAAACTTCTGACATACTTCCAAATAAATACACACGTCAGCAGGTGCCTTCAATGTAACAGTAATCAAGCTGTAATTGCATAATGAAATATTTTTATGACTAGTTTGCAGGCAGAACTACGCAGAAATGATATGCAAATTACCATCTTCATACACATTTTGCAGGACATTCTATTTCATTTAACTCCATGTAACGGGAACAGTGATTTACTGGCCTGTAGTTATTGCTGCAATGGACTCATGAGGAACAACTCATGAGCACAAATGAAAATTTTGCCATCCTGAACAATTTTCAGATGGGCTACTGCACTTGCATAGCAGAATTCTGCCAGGTCATACAGCAGGACTGTAAGAGTGCCTTTTTCAGAGATGTACACTAGATGGCCAACGGCACTTGATGGTCTATCAAAAAGCTTGTATGGATTAAGTTTAGTTGTTGCAAAGGGAAGGGGGCCAGGGGGTCTGTTTAGAAACAAAGTTACTTATTTTTTTTTAAATGATCCACCTTCTACTCTGCTTTCCAGGTACTTGTCCAACTCTGCCTCTCTTTTCACCGCCTCCGGTGATACCTTTGGGGCATTCGGAAAGCAGATCAGTATCACACTCATGTTGTCTCGACTTCCCTGGTGGAAAAAAAAAAATGATTTGAGAACACAAACACACCAGACAGAAACCAAATCAAAGCATTTTCACTTTTTCTTCCAAAATTCTAGTTGTTCATTCCGTAAAAACTACCTTTAAGTCACTTTGTTTTTTTTCCACCTTCATGCTCTGAAGACTACCTGGAATCGATTACAGACAGCCCATGGGCTTTCTAAAATGATATTAGTAATAAGTGATGTACAAAGTTGTACAATTACTTGTTTTAAGTATTTTCCAATTATTTCAAGAAAACAGATGGAATATTATATCAGTAAGCAAAGCCTTCACTGCTTAAATGCAGTACAAAAGAAGCTGTTGAAGTCAGACAGCACTTTTACTTAACAACACTGCTACTGATCAGAGGTTTTTTTTTCCCCTTTAAAAACATTAAATAAAGAAATTACAGGTTATAGTATCTATTAAGGGACCAGCTGGAATGAGCTCTAGCCTTTACAAAAACATTCTTTGAAATGGAAACATTTAGAACTTTGACTAAACACAGTCCTAATACCATGTATTTAAATACAATCACATTCTCCTTAAGAAAACTTACTGTTTAGTTTGCTTTCACAAACCCTGTGCTCATCTACAGACGTGCATCTATGCTTAACATCAACAACTGAATGCACTGAAGTTAGTGAGATCAAGAACAAATGTTTAAAACAAGCTTCTATAGCTATATGGGAAGGTGCTGGCAGCTGGCTACTGCAAAATTTACAGCATCCATAAGACAGCATTCATTCCACAGCATTTGTTTTCAAGACTAGCAGATAAAGTTGTAAACAAAAATATGAGCCTTATCAATCCTCTACAATGCTGGAAAGCAAATTTCTTTTTTTCCAAATGGGAAACTATGACCTTGTTAGCCACGTGGCATGAGCTGATGCACAGTCTTGCCTCGATAGCATAAGAAAAACTGTGTATTTACACTACAGCTTACAGCCTGTCTTTAGAGAACTAAGTGCTAAGTTACAACACTAAATATTTCCGATCTCTTAACTGTGCCATCCTACAGTTCATTGAAACAAGGTGGAAAGTTGCCATGCAGAAAATTGCAGAGATTTGTTAAACAAAACAGTGCTAGTTTCACAGCCATATGACAACACTGAATGAGAAGTACAGTAATTAAACCAGAACAAAACCTGATTTAGGAAGTCAGATCTTCACATGGTCAAGACTTTAAACTGTAAGATACGAAGTCAGAGTTGAATCACTCTGCATTCATCCTGACATGATCATGGCAGTAATGTTACTACATGGTCAGGAGAGGAAGGAAAAGCATATTTCCTACTCTGATTAAAGAGCTGAGAATTTGTAAAGTACATTGTGAACCAGAAAAGGACTGTTATGGTCCTTGGCTTTCCCATATGTTTCTGGCTTCTCGGGTATCACAACATACCTATTCACGACTTTTAACTCTTCAAAGGTACCCAGAAATCCATCTATTTCCATCTAATCCATCTATTTCTGTTGCATGCTTGTTTACCCATTATTGCCATTTCTCTGATAATGATAATAATTATTAACAAAATATAGAGTGGAATCAAAACATTAACTTGTTTATAAACTTCTAATAGCAAAAACATAGTAAATTTCTCCTCTCAAGCCTTGCTACCTTGTACAAGCAGGTGTCAACTATCTCATTGCAAACTTTCTCAAGGTCATCAGTGACTTCAAGTCTGGATCTTACAAAGTCACACAGCTCTTCATTTCCCATAACATCCCAGATACCATCGCAAGCCAGTATGATGAACTGATCATCTTCTTCTGATCTCTCAATTTCATAAACTTCAGGCTCTGGTGAGACTAGCTGTTCTGTGGGACCTTTCCCATGGACACATTTGTAATCAAAGTCCCCAAGTGCCCTTGAAACAGCAAGAGAGCCATTCACACGCTGAATCATTACAGAGCCGCCTGCATTCTGTATACGCTCTTTCTCCAGTGGGTTGCTTGGTTTGTGATCCTGTGTGAAGAAGTGAACCTTCCTGTTTCTACAAAGTAAACCTCTTGAGTCTCCACAGTTGATGAAGTATGTATGCTGGGGAGAAATCATGACACCCACAGCTGTTGACCCACTTCTGTCTGCACCATGTTTCTTCTCAGAGATGACTCTCATATGTTCATCAATTTGCAGAAAACCTGTTCTGATGCCACTCTTTACACTTTCCACAGATGGTGGCCCATCTGGCCCTTTAAAATCCTGGTTGCTTGTGATGTGATCTAATAAATGCTCACAGCAGTACTTGGCAACCTGTGATCCAGCGTGCCCATCGTATACAGCAAAAAACGACCATCCATCAAGTCCATTTGGCAAACCAATCACAGCTGTATGCGCGTCCTCCATTTCGACTCGCCAGCCTTGCATACTACTCAGACCATAACGAAGCCCATTCCCCTGCCCTTGGGCATTATGCTTCTCCATCTTTGGCTTGTCTAAAAATGCTCCCATGATGCCTTTCCTTCAGGTCTAAAAAGAAAGAGAAAAGGGTTATTAAGATGATCTAGAACTTCAGAAATAAGTAGTAACTACACTATTAGAAACTTCAGTAGTCCAAATAATGCTAAAGACAATTAAAACCCTCAACAGATATAAAGTTGGGGCCCCCCCCCCAAAAAAAAAGTAAAATTAGCATTGCTTTGGTCTAAATTAAACAAGGACACTGCTACTAGCTGATGTTTCCAGGACAGCAGTGTTGCCTAGGTCCCTACTGCCAGGCCATGAAGTCCTCCTGGTTTTATGATGGTGGCGTGGAAATGAAAGGAAAATTATTCTGGAGGATAAGGTTTTGCTTTTGTTTGGTTAAAACAGGTAAAGTGATCTGAAGGGTGAAGATGAATGTGAGTCTGCATTAAAAATAGTGGCAAACTGGACAACTAGGAGCAAGACACGGAGGGAAGAGAGCAGCTGTCCCTTCAGGCAGCCATTAGTATGGCTCAGCCATCTCATGAAAGTCCATCCTTAGATTTTCAGTTATATCACACAGCAAGCTTCTCAGATGTCCACACAGCAGATTTACTTAAAACCTTAACGTATGCATGCTTTGGTGAAAGACAACTACCCCTGACAAGTTTAAGGAAACCTGTTTGGAAATAAAATCACATGTACTGTCAACTCATGCTGCTTTTGTGTTCAAGCCAGACCAAGGCACTGCACACCCTACCCTCCTCCACCTGCAATCATTGGGATGTGATGCAGCAAATATTCGTGCTTAAGGGATGAACATCTGCAGGCAGCAGAAATGGACTGGTTGATCTTCGTGGCTTTCACACCCTATGCATTCAACCCACCCTTCTAATCACATCAGTTTATCTGTGCATTCATTACATATTTAAAAAAAATACATAAAATAGGTCACACATTTTACATACTTGCAAATTCAGCATTAGAGAGAGTGCAAACTGCTGTTACACAACACAGGGTAAGGGAATAACCACAGAAGACCTTCAATTCAAAGATGTCAGACAGATCAACTGCAAGTCAAATCCCAAAGCAAGATCTTACCCAAAGCCCCAGCCAATCTGCTGCACTTGCACAGGTTATTTTCTAGGGATTTTAGGTTTTAATGTGTGTGTGAAATATATTAGATCAGTTTCCTATGTGATAGCATTATTTTTTATAACATTATTATTCAAACAGATCCCCAGCTATACATGAAACTACACATCTAACAAAGCCTTTCAAGCACGCGTCTTCCAACACATCATCAACCTGTTAGAAACATCCGTATGTGTTAATAAAAGCAGTCCAGAATGTTTACATCTGATCTCACCACAACTGACTGCAATGTCAGGCAGAGGCTCTGGAGGCACACTTGTTTTGGTCACGTGCACAAAACCAAAAGCCCCACATTTCAGCTGTGTGGATTAAGTGAACACAGCACAACAACGCTCATGCAAACCATAACCAGCCAACAAAACAGAACAAGACATTGGTCTTGTATGCTACAGCATGTCCACGAGGTTCACATCACTGCAACTGCTAGGAAAAATGACTTACACAATTTTATCTTGCCATACAGCTCTAATGAAGTCAGCGTGATCAAAGTAATTACTGAATGCCACCATAAATCAAACAGGGAATTATTTCACAGAATGTAATTCTTATTCGGTGTCAGCAGCAGAGTTTGAACTGATGTATAATACTTTCATTGTCGAAGAAATCATGAAGTGGAATTCAAATCACTCTCCTTAATTCAAGAGCTCAAAAAGCAGAAAGCACCCAGGCAAATACCACATTTTTGTGAAGATTCTACATTGTTTTATTGCTGTGTTTAAAAAGTAACCAAATACAGAAGCATTAAGAAAGAAGATAGTTAAACTGGACACAAGCACTGTTAAGCTTGGACTAGGAAAAGCAAATTTCCTAAGTAGGTACACAATATTTAGAGTTGTGCTCTGTAAGCTGTTCATCACTCTTTGCCACCCAAACCACGATTAAAAGTACCCCCAGACACATCATATGCAGTTCCAGTAACTCACACAGAACTGCTGGAACACTTCAAAAATCACTAGCCCACTCTCCATTGAAAATCAAGATGCCGCCTGGGAAGGCATAAGGCAAAGTGTGAGCTGTTGCTGTTCATCCAAATTAAGCCTCGAAGGTGATGTGCTGACACATTTCTTCAAGGATGTGAGCAACCCACCAGAGATGTGAATACAACTGGGATAACCACAATGCAGTTGTGTAACTTTTACTTACAAAAATATTCAGAGCCCACGGCGTAAAGTATTCCCCTCCTGAGAAGGATAGCAAGAGCCTGCAGTCACATTCCTTGCCAAGCTCTAGGTAATTGTTTTTCCAACCCTAACACCAGTCTGTACCTCTCAGCATGTAGGCCAGACTTTCAAAATCCTTGTTACATCTGAAGGGAAAGTATAGTATATCTGCATGTAGGATGAATACAGCAAGCATCTAGCTTTTCTGAACAAGAATGGAAGTTCTGGAAGAGTGTGAGCTTAATATGACCAATATGTGGCTGCAACCTGAGGAATGTAGTCTTTAAGTCATAACATTTATTTTTAGTTTTATAAAGGGGGGAAAAACACTAAGGGGCTGATGTAAGAAAGCTGTGTCTCCTTCCTACTAAAATAATCATCTTTCAGTCCTGTTCTTGAGTCTGTATCCACACAGACATCTCTCACACATTACTGCCTACCTAAATCACCACTCTCCCATACATTCCTCCATGTAGAGTTCCGAGCACAATACTGCTTGGAGTTGGAATGATACCTTAATTAAGCACATGTAACCCTGTATGCAAATCAGATTAACTTACAGCAGAGCAAGCATCCAAGTTGCAGCATGACTTTGTTATGTAATAACACGAAAGACAGAAGTCAAACCCAGAACAGACTGCATACATGATTTGCAATAAAGCAGCAAATGTGGCTCAGCTGAGTCTTCTTTTACATTTCTTCAGTCATTCTCATTTCTCATTAATAGGATCACTTTTTTTAAACCCTTCTCCTCATCCTTCTTAGCCCAGCTGCAGTTCTGTGAACAATCAGCAATAACAGTAGGAAATTAGAGCCTGACAGTGGGATACAGACTCATCCTCTGCTCTGGAGTCCTTGGCTTTCAGGATGCCTGACTGACGTACAGAATGCAGCCAGATGGCCTTCCTATCCCTACTAAAGGAAAAGGGGAGAGAAAATGCACTTGAATCCTAAATCTTACAGACAAACATGCAACACTACAACACCCATTGTTTTTTCTTAGAGGAAGATGATTCTGAACAGGTACTATAGCAGAGTGATGTGTAAAACATGAGGCACAAGGCCCTCTCCTGAAGAGGTAAATGAAATACCACCAAGCACTGCAACGGTCAACCAAACTCCATTTCTAACCTAAATCAACTTTCGGTTCACCACCTCATTGTCTGTGACTTCCCCCCATAAAGAAAGCTTTCTGCAATCAAAGCCCCTAAATTCTGGCTTCCAACAACACATATTCAGAAGCTTGTCTAATTATATATATTTTAACTGAGAATGGATTCTTTGCATAGATATGAATATGCATGCATGTATCCATATGCATTTATGACAGCATCCAAAGCATGACTTCTGAAATGTTGACTTCGTAGAGGTCAAACTGAAGGACAGCCTCCAAAGCAAGAGCTCGAAAAACTCAAGCCACAGTTTGCAGACAGGAAAGCAGGAGAACTGTACAGGCCTAGAAAAGAAAACTAACACAAGTAACAAAACCTTGGAGAAAACACAAGAGTACCAAAATTCAAAGGGCTGCAGCATTAGAAACAAAACTGAAACAATGAATGGAGCATGCTAAAGAGTCAGCAGCTAAAACCTTTGAAAACAGATGCAATTGGAGAACAGAGGGGCAAAGAAAAGGAGGGTAATTAGTATACCAGACCACGGACATCCATGGACAACCACAGATACATCACTGGAATGCATGAAATCCCTTTGCCCCTTCATTTGTCCCTCAAATTACACTATTCAGTCAGTGCAACTATACTGCCTCCTGATACATGAGAAGGTAAACTTTACCTCTGCTTATTTTGAGGGTTCAAATGAAGACGTCTTAAATTGTTCACAGAGGACAGCTGACGTAACCCCATATATATCCCTGTAGAAACACTATTTATTTTTCCAAAGAACACTGACTGGAGTGTCTTATCCCAGAAACACCACTACCTCACCATCTGAAATTTGTACTTTAACAATACATAATTTAATAATCCTTTTAAAACAATGTTTGAATTGTATTTCTTCCACTAGGATAAGCTGCTTATACGAACCACACTGAAGCTGGAGCTATTTGTTCTAACTAAGCCAAGAAATGTCCCCATATTACAATTTCCTGGAACAATTCTCCAAGTGACATTATGCCCTGTATGCTGGAACGAGCACACAAAGAAAGATTACAATCTTTACTTAAGCTACACAGAAAGGACATAGAAAAAGTCACCAAATTATACATACTGCTACTGAATAGAAAAGGGGCATTCGATCCTTTCAGCTCCAACCTGATTTGTGGCACTTCTCCCCTGCCTTAAGCAGGCAGGATGCAGTAACCAGTCAGCACGTCATCGTGCAAATATGGAACCATTTCCCAAGTTAGCTCCTGCTGAATGAAAAACGAGAACATACTGGATGCACCAAATCAATTAACATTACCAAATAACATGTCAGAGGATCAGAAGAATGACTAAAATAAAACAGAACACGTGGATGAGGAGACATAATTACACCACAGTCATGGGCTGAATGAAGTAATGAAAAAGCTTTATGCCAATGAAACTATTTCAGAACTATCAGAGGCCGTACGATGAGTTTCTGGCATTCACGGCTCACCAACATCAATAAAGCACTGAAAAAATCTGAGCTGATGCTTCTGAATGTGTACTTTCAAATGCAGGAATAGATGGCCAATTCAGAGATGTGAATTGTCTCTGAAAAAGAAGCAGGACAAGAAAAAAATACAGAAACAGGGTATTTCAGTAAACA